TTCTATGTATGTAGGTATATGGTTTTAAGCAGGATGTATATAATTACATGAAAAGCAAAACCTATTGGGGATCAAAGTAAGAGCAGAATACAGCCCCCCTTTCCACCACCTTTGTCCTTCTCTCCATATGTTTATTGCCATTCCAACACAAACCTCCCTCACCGGCATGCTCAGTTTCTCCCCCTCTCCACCTGACTGTATCTAACCACCTGGCGCTCATTTCTCTCCATTTCTCCCTTAAATGCTAAGTACCAAGGGGTGAGAAATCTGCACTCTGAAAGAAGCAAAAACACTGTTCCATCCAAAGACTGTAAAGGTGTGATACTCTGCTCCCCCACTAATATATTTGGTAATGTATGAAAACAGATATAAAGTTCATTCTCTGTTAAGCGGAACCTTTTGTGAGATCCGGCGGCAAAATGTTTTGAAGGATAATATTTGCATGTGGTGGCAGCGAATCGTCCAAAAAGGCTATTGACACAGGAGCAGGGGGAGCGGCTGCAGTCGACTCAAGTCAATATTCTTGCTGGAAGAGATTTGCAGAAACAACGTCCAGAGAAGCCGTCTTGGGAAGCATTGTGATGCTCTACCGACATGAGCCCGGGACTTCAGTGCACTCTGGGCCAGCGTGGCCTCAGCGACCTCCAGGAAAGCTTCATTTCCTGTCCTCCTGCAGCCATTTCATCACGGAAATGACAGTGATTGAGGTCACGTCTTAGATACAAGACTGTGCACATAGTGTGCTCATCTGCACGGACGTAAACATCAGCGCAGATGTGGAGATGAGCCAATAGGTCGGAAGTGCTTATGTAAGTACACTTAATGGTGAAGTTAAAATACCACAGGAGAGTGTAAATGTTTAAATGTAGTTTGTGTAGAGGTTTGTGTTTGCACATTGGCCCACATATGCCCACTTGAGTAGAGATTCAGCTTTATGTGAGTAAACACACAACCCCAGCGTGATGGTTCAAGCTCCATTTGACTCGCGGGTAAACAAAGCAATAACTACTGGCGGAGAAAATGAGATGAGCTGTGAATTCAGCCAATTTTCCAAATGTCTCAGTTTTATGGCTGTTTATGATTAATCAATAAGACATCTGGGCCATTAAATTGGTTTAACGATTATGACTATTAAAACAATTTCTGGTAAAAGGCGGATGAAGTACGGCATCACTCATAGCAAGAATATACCTGCTGCCTGCTGCCTCTCGCTGTTGGAGGTTTGATACAGTCCAGCTGCTCTGTAATGAAGTGCTGTGATTTCATTGTATGTCATCCTGCCTACTTGACTTCACATTTCCTACATTACCCACAATGCTTGTCATTTTCAAGACATTGAGTTGTTGGGGCAGCAGTAGCTCAGTCTGTAAGGACTTGGCTGGGGAATAGAAGGGTCGTCGGTTACAGTCCGGACATCAGTCTGGACTGTGGGCTGGTTGCTAGAGAGGTGCCAGCTCCACCTCCTGAGCACCGTCAGGGTGTCCTTGAGCAAGGTCCCTAACCCTTAACTTCTCCCGGAGCGCCCCTACATTGAAGCCCATCACTCCACCATCAAAGTGTGAAAATACACACGGGGTAAAAAATGTTTTAACCAATGTCTTAAGATGTTTGAGGATTCATTTTTCTTTCATTCTGGGGGATCATAAGCTGATCAAACCTACAATAACGGATTTTTTTTCTCTCCTTGGCAGCAGAAATAAGTTGTAAACACAGCATTGATATATTATCACCTTTTAAGTTGATCTGGCAAACAGCTGCTTATTGACATGTTGCTACACAGTGTAACAGATACACTGCAGTCGTGTTTGTGTCCACCTGATGGATGGAAGTCCAATATTCACTCTCTGTTTATGGTTTCTAGCAACTCCTCAGGGAAATAACTGACTCTTTAGCTGCAGCATGCTCCTAGAGCTGCTCACCACCTAGTCGCCAGCTGTGAGCAGGTATAGTGAGCTTTTAGAACTTTTCAGCAACAGCTGCCTGCTGCAGCCAAAAACAATGCTTTGAGAAAAGTGAGAGTGAACCAGAACAGTAAAGTTGTGGCCGGGCGGCTAACCAGTGAGCAGCTTTTACTTTCTTGCTTTTTTCTTGAGACACACTGAATACTTTTGCTAAGGGATGCACCAATCCAACTTTTTCTCTCCCCCAATGCAGATTCTGATATCCAAAATCACACTTTCAGCAAGACCTGTCCTGATCTAATATCAGTTTTGTCTTTTCCTTTCATATTTGGCATCTTTACATAATTGTACAGGCTATCACATTCATTTTAAGGTAAACTAACATGGCACGACGAACTGCCAGGGATTATCTGATCTGTCTAATAAGTCAGTATAAAAAATAAATTTGCTTGAACTGCTTAAACCTCATGTCCACACCACAATCATAAGATGTGATAAGTAGACCTTTCTTTATTTTAAGGGGTCGCAAACCAAAAATATGGCACTGTATAAATACTTTTCATTTTGAAATTGTTAACCCAAAGCAGATATTTTCAATAAATTAGATCACGCTAAGGTTAGCATAATAAAGAAAATATACACCTTTAAATAATAATATGCCTGTGTCAAAATGACATTTCATATACAGTAACACACAGCAGAACATATGACCAGAACATGTCACTTTGTCATTTCAGTGGCTCATAATCAGCTTGTGAGTGAGAGTGACAACAGTGGGTGGCTTGCTGACAATGTGCTGCTTTTGTGTGCTCTGCCTGGCACCCTGCATGCCCACCATGTGTTTGGGTCCTGTGGCCCTGCAGAGTGGGCAGAGAGCACAAGGGCACCTCTTCACAACCAGGCCCAGCTGCCTCTGTGAAATGCCAGAGGGGAGGAGGGGGGGAGGCCAATTCAGGCGGTCATCCAAAGGCAGGCATGAATCAAAGATGAATGCAGGCAGACACCGCCATGTCTCCCAGAATGCTGCCATAAAGGCATACAGTATACCCACCCACCCACACACACACAGGGACTGAGAGGTGACACATAGTTTAAGTGAAGCTAATGGCCACATTAAACCACACAGTTCCCTAAGCACTAAAGCACAAAGTCATGTTTTGTGCTCTAGTTTTTTGCTCTAGCCACCCATTTGTCACAAATGCGAGACTTGGCGGGACATTAACACACCGCCCGGGTTTTCCCTGAACACCCATATTCTGTGGGACACACCTGCTACCCACGTCACTGCTACAGTGCTTGAAAACATCTGCGTGCTAATGAGCATTAACTCACTCTGAACAGAATGGGTGCAGGTGCATTACTGAATAGTGCTGATTGACTCATTACAGCCACTTTTGATGAGGTAAATTTAGTACAATTGAATACAATACAAGGGGTTAATGAGTAAGAGACAAACAGAGTGGCAAAAAAACTGCAGACTTAGAGAAATGGAAATATCAATATCGCCGTGAAGTATCTGACTGTGCTCGGGTAGATATTCTCCATTTCCACATGCTGTCGAAACTATTTTATGATCATGATCATATTTACAGTTGAACTGTATGCAACAATTTGCACCTGGATTAGGAAGTATTCATTTGCGTATCTTGAAACACAACATTTACAAATTCACACCAAAATAAGCAATGTGCAGAAAACTGTCACCTTAAATAAGGAAACTGCAGCTCCTGTATTATGTAATTATTCAATGTAGTTTCAGCGTCACCAGGGTTACCAATAAAGAAATATTGTGACAGTGTGTTGTAAAATGCCGTTACAAGACAGTATTCCACTAACAGAATTTTTCTTTCCCGACAATGAAAGCCTGAAATAGTCCGTTTTCACAGCACAGTTAATGTACACTGGGTGCACACGCCACATTTGTAGTCGCCATCTGGAATAGCATCAGTGCAGATTTAGGTGATAAATCACATTTAATGAGTGTATCCCCAATTTTTCTCCCTCGTTTAAATATAACTCATGAGGGTAATAAAAGCTTAAATCCTTCATTCAGAGTTCTATGAGTTCTAAGAAATCAATTGATTTCAAAAAGGTTTCCTTGAGAACTTTACCATTAAATTGTTATAGTACCTCAAAATCACACGGTTAAGTAAGTGTGTGAGTGAGAAACATTTGCTTTTGTTTTGTTTTTTCAATGATCCATATATTTATGACATTTACTTAAACGTTATCCACTTCGTTCTTAGGTAAAGATGTTTAGACTCAACTTCACATACTACAGTTCCACAGACTTTTATTTTGGCAAAACAACTTACTGCATGTGTCTGGGAGCTGATTACCAGCCCTACTCCCAGTTACAGTGGTTTGGATACCCATACATGCGCAGACACACAATCACACACACACACACACACACACACACACACACACACACACACACACACACACACACACACACACACACACACACACACACACACACACACACACACACACACACACACACACACACACACACACACACACACACACACACACACACACACACACAACCCAGACGTGACCCAGACAATAAGGCTGCTCTGGGTTTCTGTCACTCTGCACATTAGGTCTGTCACTTCATAGCTCCCCTTGAGAAAACTCAACACCCCCGCTTTGGTCCAGATCACTGCATCATATGACTGGCACAGGATGATGGACAGCTTTAAAGGGGCTGCTGACGGGGAGACGGAGGCGGTTTGTATTAGTCGGCTGTTCAATGTCTGTAGCATGTTTGATTGTGGTGATGAGTGAGGCCTAACAGCTGCTGATGACCATGTCCAAGGAAGACAAAAATAGGAGTGTAGATCTTAAAATAACATTAATTGGGCGACTTCCAATTGGAAGTAATTAAACCTGCTCCAGCCGTGACAAGAGACAGACTTCACTGAAAGTAGATCTTTTCTGTAGCATGTTATATTATAAACTGCTATATAGTTGGCATTACCTCAACAGGTCAGATAGCAGGAATGCACATTGTGAAGGTGAAGCGAGCAATGCAGAGTTCTGCGCTGTCTGCAGCAGAGGAAAGCGTCTAGTTGGACGGAGAGATTCACTTACCTCATTGGCTGAGTCCGAAGCGCTGTCTTCAGATCTTCCACCACCTTGTTCCTCATTTCCATTTCCTCCTCATCAAAGGCAAACAGAGTCTGCATCTGCAGGAAAGGTAAGGTAAGTTAAAGTGAAAATGGAATTAAGAGGTAAGACAGCTGATTAATAGGCTATCGCTGAAATTTGGCTTAATAAAAGGCACAATTTGGCAAGCTACCTGCTGGCAAGAATTCTGTATTTTTCACTTTTAATTAAGAGCCTTTCATTGTTTCTTAATCTTAATTTGGCAGCAATTAAACAGCAACAGTACACATTTCCTCCTCTTTACAAGCAAATGTGCTTGTTTCAGTTAGTCCTAGCATCACAGACAATCAGAGCCTCATTAGTAGGCTAATGTTTCAAGCACCACAATCCAAACAGATCATGTGTATTCCCCCCTTCCGATGACATTTTCCTTTTAAAGAACTGTTTGAAGCTATACGACATGCCAAAATAAGTCATGCGGGCGATTAGCTCCAATCAAGCTCACAATAAATGATTCAAAAAAACAGAACACTTAGGCCGGTGGTGGTGTTAATACATTTCTGCATCACTTAAAGCCTCCCCTCAGCAACATCAAAGAGCTGCTGTGTTCCCATTAGTCAGGGCCACAGGGCTTCTGTTTAGCCTCTCCATGCTTTTTCCATGGCAGCTCACTGCCAAGTGCTAAGGTTCAGCAGTGGAGGAAGCTAGTCATAGTGACTGCCCATTAATTTGCCTGAAAAAATATTAGCTTAAATGTGACCCTGTTTTCCAATCCTTAAACCCTTACAAAGGCATATTTTGGTTCAAATATTCCACAGCAAGACAGGACTTTTTGAACCAACAGCACTAGCTAGCTGAAGCCCGACCCCATGTTTGACTACCTAACAACAGCTCTGGTCTGTCCGGTGTGTGCGAGTGTTTAATCTAGAAACAGTGCAGTCAAAACATCCATCGCGTCGACTTAGCCTCAAGTCCAGATGGTTCAGGGACCCCGTGCCAAGAAGTAAAGGCCCTGGCTCCTGTTTCTCTAAACGAATATGTTCATAGTCAATGGGAAGTTGGACACAACAAGTGTTGGGGAGAGTGAATGATTTGGTCGTGCTGCGAGCCAGTTCACCGTGTCAACGAGTCTAGCCAAATGGCTCCTTCCTACATCTGCTATTTGTAAGCTCATTTGTACCTGTGGCCAACATTCACATAAGGATACTATTATAGCCAGTTGGTAAACCAGCAGAAGGTACTTCCCTAAATCCCTATTATGGGAAGTGCCCCCCAGAGCCAGAACGATGCCTTTAAGCTAGTCGGCAGTGCGTTAACTGACGGAGTGATGAGTGCAGCTCATCAAACCTTAATTTAGACCATGTGGGTCGCTGATGCACCAAGTACAAAAGCATTTGTCCAATAAAAATGAAGGCAAACATAATTATTTGAACTAAAGTAATCACGTGAAGTCAGAATCACAAAACCTAATTAAGCTAACAAAATGCTAGCTGAAACCCAGCGATTATCCTATTGTTCCTATGTGGCTAAGACTAACAACTGAAATTGAGTGGAGTTTGGTGACTGGAAACAAGTGGAAATAACAGCTTTCTTCCACTGAAATGCCAACGACCACTCATGAAAGCCAGTCATTCCAAAACATTGCAATATTCTTTTGCTTAGTTATATAGCATTATCAAAACTAGCAAGTCTAAGATGATAGTTACAGTAAGTGCCATCATGTCTTTTTAAGGTCACAGCTAAGCAATGTAGCTTGTAAGCTGGCGATAACTTCCAAATACAGAAGCTTTACTTTGCTAAAGTTTGACTGAAGTACTGATAAAGACTACAATGTTATTTTAACACAGCTCACTCATTTGGAGCTGTGTTTCTAAATGTACGTCTAATATTCACTCTCTGTTGTTAGGTCTGTTTTTGGTGTCTACAAACTCCTGAGGGAAATATCCAGCTCCTCATTTACCAGCTAGTCTCCAACTGCATCTGTCTGCTGTTTTATATTAGACAGATAAGTCACAGTGGGTTTTGACAGCTTTTTTGCTGAAAATAGTGGCTGAAAAATGCACTATGAGAGCAGTGAGAATGAACCATAACAGTAAAGTTGTGGTGGGACACAAAAATGTGTTGAAACGTGCTATAAACAGTCTCTGCAGATTGAAGTGATAATTCACTGATGGGTCATCAACCCCTTTTTTACAACGCCATTTGATACATTATTATAAAAATATAGATTATAGCTGCTTTAAAGTTTCAATTAAAAATAATAGTTTCTGTGAAAAACATTTAAATACTGTTCCATGTATATGAGCGCACAATTGATCAGTTCGTGGTATACAAGGCTAATGACAAGCTGAAAACGTATTCTAATAATAGGTGCAATTTAACTTTTACAAATATACATAATTTAAACCAGGCTTCACTAAAGCTGCTGAATTAAAATAAAAATAAATCAATTTACAGCAACAACAGTAACTGTAATAGGGACTCAAATCAGCATTACAAAATGCTTTCAAGTGTTATGAACCTATTTTATGGTCTGCAAAACTGCAATAGCTGAGTTCTGCATGTTTCTTCTACTGCTGGTCTCTGTCTTTAAACTCCTTTTTTTGTCTATCTGCAGAAAGAACCCCGTCCAGGAAGGAGCTCTAAATCTAGATTGGACACAGCGTGGCTGGAGAAAGTCTCGTCAGAGTCACAAGGACGTTTGAATTATCACTCTGTAGCCAATGAACAACCTCAGGGCTCTAACGTGGTTTTATGAATGAACATCAAGATGCTGGTTGTACAATAATCTCTCCGGGCGGCAGAGCGAATATGAGCTCATCCAATAACTCAGCTACTGTGGAAGGGCTGCCCCTGGTGAGCTCACCCGGCAGCCAAGACATGAAGTCATGTACAGGCAGAGCACCTCCAAATTTTAAAATGTGCTCTTGTCAAGATGCTGTCTGGGGCACGGTGGTGGAGAAAATGGAAGACTGATAGTGGGAATGAAAAACGATTCAGGAAGGGGAGGAAATTGGTCAAGTTATGGTGAATAAGAGAGACTTCTGGGGCTTGGATGAACAAGGGGCTGCTTGTGTAAAAAGGGGATTGGAGACAGCAGAAACATCTTTCTCAACGAGTTATTTAAATCGGTTACAGTCATATTTTTTTATCTTCTTTGCATGTATGCAAAATCATTTCTTCCATTGATGCAATATAATTTTATTTGCTCGCAATGTGACATTTGTTTTAATTTGTCAAATTAAACTCCCCCCTCCAACTTTAAAGACTCTATACACTGTAGACTGTATACATATGACTTACTTTTTTTTCAGTAGATAAGTAAAAAAAACTTGGCAACTTCATTGTTGGATGCATCAATAAAGACAACATGGAGGAGTACAGAGAACTGATGGAGAGCTGCATCACAAGGTGCCACTACAGTCACCTGAAGCTCTATAGCAGCTAGACCCGAGAGCTGGAGGTGGACTACCAGAGGAACAGGAGGCTCCCAGTCCCTGAGTATCATCCAGGGAGAGGAAGTGGAGAGGGTGGATTCTCACAGGTACCTTGCAGATCTTCTACCAGGCACACCTTATTCCCCACTTGTTCAGAATAGTCCTTTTCAGCCATTGTTGTTTCAATTACTGTTACTAATGTTTTTTGTCTGTTTGCTTTATTGTTTGTGTTTTATTTAGTGTTTTATCTGTTAAAACATACAAACTAGTATTTGATGCATCAATGTAGCAACAGTGACTGGCACACTGGACTGATTTCTATATCTTCCCATATATTTTGGGGATCAATAAAGACTCATCTTAACTCACAAATCAGCACTTTCTCTTGACAATACCGTCAACACGGTGTATGTGTGTGTGTGTGTGTGTGTGTGTGTGTGTGTGTGTGTGTGTGTGTGTGTGTGTGTGTGTGTGTGTTCTGCCTGAGCCTTTACAAGAATGACAGTACAATTATTTCTCCAGACTTCAGCGCTGAGCTCAGGTACCGGTGCAACTTCCAGAAGTAGCTCATTCTCCTCCCTCGAGTGGAGCCAGTAAACAAAAACAGCTGTAAAAATAGCAACCTTCAACGCGGGTTGTTGCTACAGGCATGTATGCCAGAGAAACAAACAACATGGCAATAAACATATTAAATGCCATTATGTTTTGGCTCCGTGTTTATGGTGGCCTGCGTAAGTTATGGTTGAACAGTTTATCTGATCTGCAGCCTGGAAAGACTTGTAAACGTATTAAGCGTTGGTCTCTTTGGTTAGATGATGAAAAAAATCAACCTTGCGGAATGTTGAGAAGTCTCTCACTGGAATTGTAAGACTGTCTTCACCAGGGACTTGCTAGTCACTAAATTTCATGCTTACATGTTACCCTTAAAGACCCCCTCTTAAAATGTCATGTTTTATGATCTCCAAACATTTGGGAGCCAACTTGTCGTCCACATAAGTACTCGGGGTCAGAGGTCATTGGCACAGATTGGTCAGTGACCGAATGTACAATCAAATAATACAACTTACATAACAGCAGTAGTGTTTAAACTGATATGAGATGGGACGTAGACGACAGTCTATGATGGTATCGTGCTGTTTTTATTGGCAGCCATGCTGCTTAGAAATAATGAATATTGTCATCCTGGCTTTGCTCCTGCATCTTTGACAGCCATTCCCACTGACTGAACTGCTGAGTGCCTAAATGTCCTGTTTGTCATCACAGTGTGTGTGAATGCTGGGGTCACGGCGAAGGAATGTGGTCATGCGAATATAACAAGCAGTCAGCAGGGAGGCGATAAAAAGCGAGCCAAGAGAGAAGTCTGAGAAAGAATGACTGAGTGAACAGTGACCTCTTAGCAGTGGTGGTCAAATGCTCGAAGTTTGTGAATTACACTGTAAAAGTAAAATTAAAGTTGGCAAGAAATATTCATTCATCTAGGGAACAGAAATCAGAATAGACATTGTGTTTGTGTGACTTACAGCAGCCATGGAGTTGATACGGTCAATGTAGTAGTCGGGCCAGCTGGTGGCCAGCTTGTTGGGGTCCTCTTGCTCCTGTGCATGGACACAAAGACAAATTGAGTCACTTTAGAATCACTTTAAAAATGTTAACAGTACAGCTCTACTTTAAGGGCACATAAATAGCGCGTATTGAAACCCACAGTTTTAATTCCGACCGCAATCGGAAGTTTGACTCCCATACACTGTTGTGCAAACACTGTGATGCAAACATTAGACATGTGTTTATATTCATGCTCCTCCACCGTGTTAGATGGCAATATCAGTCAGCTGGCTTGACCGTCCCACATTCAACAACTACTATCTAAATTGTCAAGAAGCTTACGGATACTCACGGTCCCCTGAAGTGGCCTTATAATCACACTTAATTATCATTCACTTTCAGGTCATTTATTCAGCCTGACATTCTGTTTGTGTTAGCTGATTTGTGGTTAGGAGGGGGGTTTATTTGATTTTGTTTTTCCCTAACCACTCATTACTGAATGACGTATCCATTCCACCAATGCCATCTTCAGGTCACACGGAAGCTGCAGTAGTGGTTGCAAGGAATAGTTGTTGTACAGTTATATGTACAGAAATAGGTCAATTTAATAAATGTTATGTCTTTATGTTGACTGAAGTCAACAGCTGCATCAATTCTATCCACGATTAGCACTTTTTTAAACTGATGTAGCGGCTACATTAATTAAAAATAGTGATAAGCTACACAGCTAGCTAGACAGCAGAGAGTTATATCAACTTACTACATAGCTATACTCCTCCTATAATCCTGCTTACTAAACTCATCAATGAGGGATGTGGAAGGTTTTTTTAGAGCTCTGGAACCTGGAAAAAAAACTCCAATAAAACTCTCCTTTCCTGTAGCACTGCCATCAGGTCAAAATTGCTTCAATTGAGACTTTTGTCTATGATATCTAATAATAAATAGAATAGATTTCCATCACATTTTCCATGAATACTTATGCTTCTCGGAAGATGAAACCTTATATTTATAGTGACCCTTTAACCTTAGAGGCACCATCAGGCCTAAAATTCCACATACGTATGAGAAATATCAAAAACTATTGGGGCAGACAGCTGCAGAATTCACAGAGAATATTTATGCTCTGCAGATGATTTTGGAAACCTTTCCGCCTATACCAACATCTTAACAATCTTTACATTTTAACCTCACTGCTGGTAAGCTGCTAGGAGCAGTGAAATCATCAGCTTGTTGGCTATTTTCTCCAAAATGGGGTGTGATGAACAAGGCGGGGCTGTGACTACGACAACACCATACTCACTCTGTGCTCTATGCATTATTTTCAGAATATTTCACTCTCCTAGTTTCATCCTTCCACTTTCTACCTGAGCTGCGTACTTCCGCATTCACATGGAGACTGAATGCATCAGGCAGTCCAGTCCACAATAACTGGGTCACAACAAAGAAGAACTGCCTTGAGGAATGAAATGCACTCCACAATAGTTTTCAAATAGCTCTGTCTGAGATCAATTTGTCAGGGCCAATCGGAGGAAGCGTGATGCCACGAGCAACCAAGGCACAGGGGAAAACAGAGACCATGTTCCTCATTCACATCTGGTCTTGTTTAGCCCGGGCTTAGAACACTAGTGGAGCGTTGTTGTTGTTCTTGTTACTGTGCGCACGTCAATGAGAGTTGGAAACTTACAGTATGCCACATTAATGCAAAATTGGATCGTTTTGTAGGACACGAGTTAGGGAAATTCTTTGCCAATGCTTTAAGTGTGTTTTAAATCTCAACATATGTCAAAAATGTAACCTTTGATTCAGAATCAGAAAGAGGAAGTTCTTAAAAATACCTCTTTTTTCTATAAATGTGGTGAAAAACAGGGCCATCAACTGAAATTAAGAGCAAAATAAAAGAAAGAAAACATTCCATGGCAGCACATCTGCATAGAATAATAAGCATGTTACAGTATAAAAGTTATTATAATAATGCTCCCCCAACAGATCATTTTCTGAGATTGTCAATTAAACATAACAATTTAATTTCCTACAAGGGCATTCATGCTGCAGCTAGAGCTCATAAATTCTCTGTGTTCCTTCTCAGTATGGAAAATCAATATTTGATGCCACCCCATCCCTTCATTTCTAAAATGTTGCTTCAATATTTGCACGGTGGCACTACATCGTTAAAAGCAAATGACCTTCTTCGCTGATTAAGCCAGACAAACTCCCTTCTGGGACCAGCCTCAATGGATTGTCCCCAACCTCTTATTATCTTCAGTCATTCAATAAACTTCAAATCTGGACATAAAAACGAGCTGCAGAAACAGCAAATCCACTGATTTATGCATCATAAACACTCAAGAAGCTCCACTACAGCTCTTTGGGAAAGAGTATAAAGGTTGACCAATGTGGATTTCAGTCCTCTGTTTCTGATCTCCAGCCCCGGTGCCAGCATTTGAGCTTGAGCTAAAGAGCTAAACTAAAAACAAAAACAATAGAACTCACTGTACTGCTCAGCTTGTGTTTTCAAGCTGGCTGTCGTTTCCACTATACTGCTGAAAAGCCCGGGACGCGATGCCAGACAGATCCTGACGCTGAGATTAACAACTTAACTGCCTCTCTCTGGCCCGTCAGCTGAATTACAACCGCCGCCACGCCCTCAAAAACATGTCCAGTCCAATGCAACATTTACTCTGGCAGTTTCACGAGGCGGAGTAAAGTACTGTAATTTTCGTCTTGTTTTGGGACAAATGAAATGATTACAACATGAGGTTTGTTTTGGGGGTCCTTGTCGTATCAGTGCATACACTTCCTGAATATTTGCCCTTTTAATGGAATTTCTACAAGGGTGAAGTGATGGTAAGTCTGTTCTCGTGTGCTGCTTTCTTGATCAAACCATTTTGGGAGTTAATCACAGTTGATGACTGGTATTAAAATTTTGTGATAAGAAGCCAGACTCCAAAAAGTGGAGCCGGTTACAAATGAAAAGTGCAAACAGCAGGCTTTTGATATAAATGGAGAGAGAGTTTGTGTTTGGAGTGAATGCACATTCTATATACTGGGTGCTCCTCTGCGTATGGTCCCTATTCTGGGTGAAAACATTCCAGTCGCGTGCTCTGCTGCGACAGTTTCAGGTCAAACCCTTCGTTCTATTACAGCAATTACACACTTACACTACACTGTACATTCCTCATGTCTAGTGACATTAAATATGATTTACAATCCGAATTGCAGCAAAGGAGAACAGGAATCCCCAGCAGTGTATCAGGTATATTTCTGTAAGGTGTTCCTCTTGTTACAACCATCTGTTGAGGGATATATTGTTTCTCTGAAGGCCCAAATACCTGACTGAAGCCAGAGTTCAAGAATATTTCACTGTGTGTTTGGCAGGCTACTACATTTGCAGAGGCACCTGTTGAAAGAATAGATGAAATTACATATTTCAGCTCCCCTGCTGTCTTAAAGATTTCAAACCCCCTAAAAGGTTTCACTGACAATGATAATTGAGCTCACAGAGGGTAAGAAACCTACAGACATATACATTTCAAGTCCAGGTTTCAGGAGCAACAGGGGATAGAAAGTCCAAATACTCAATTGGCCACAGTAAGTAAGTGTCATGGGAGGTTGCTACTGTTTGCTTAACTCTAAAACGTACACTCACTTTGGAGATAGAAGAAATAGAAGAAATAATACCATGCTACAAGCTGCTGTGCTGATTCCAGGTCCCTGTTGACCCTGTTGCACACCCATATTAGTGTGTTCTGCACAACAAAGATCAGACAGCAGCATATTTTCACTTTCATGCTGTCCAAGGCATTGGCAGCCTGTTCTGGGTCCCAGACTGGGCCAGAACCTATACACTGGCTGTCAATGACATGCTAACATGTTTCCATGAGGTCTCCAGTTTCTCTGGCAATCGGAGCGCTCGTCAGTCGCCTTACACTCTGTTTCCCATGTGCTCAGAGAGGCCCAGGGGGACCCTGGCTGCAATGTGGGGGCTCTTATGAGCCATCCAAAACCATGACAGCACCGACAAGCAGCACAGCACTGAATGAAATACCATATTATACCACTTCATGATCAATGGAGGGAACTGCAAAATACATTTTAAAAAGTAAAAAGGGCTTGTTACTAGCATGTGGTAGAAATAAAAAAAAGGAGTTGAATTTGGTGTTTGATTTGCCCCGAAACAAAAAGGCCCAGCGGCACCGAAATGTGCCTACACCAAATTCTTTACATTGTAACCCCTGTATAGTCTAGTAAAGCAAGTAGCACATGGGCTATCCTGTAATTACAATAGCACTTCAATACAGCAATACATTGGAACGCATTAGCTGTCATTTAAGTATATATATCTCAATATTTTTTCCATACTTTCTGCTCCAGCTGTCACCACAATATCTTCCCGTTTGCGCAACAAGGGGGATTGTCCGACATTCCAAAGAGCCAATCTCTCCGCGGGGAATATTTATCTATGGAAGCCAGGATATAAAGTCTCACCTAGAGAGGCAGGAAATGGACAGGATATTGAATTCTGGAAGATTATGTAACGCTTGCCGTCTGTTACAGGTAGCTAACATTACACACGTTTCAGCACATGGTCATGCTCAGATCTTTGCCTGGGGTCACATTAGTTCAAGTGATGGGGATAAAGAACACATGGCTAATCATTTCTTATTAAAGCTGCTTTCATGTTAGGGGTAATGTGTTGGGCATGTTGATGGCATTCCATTCACAGCTGATATGATATATCTGATATGAAGATACATAGTTGGATGATCTTGGACAGCAAAAGTGATATTATACAGAAATTTCCCTTTTTAGTGAAATTCAGGACAGAAGATAATGAATCAGTGCTAGTTTTCTCAGTGTTTTGACTGATAAAAGGCCCATATTGTGTGCTGAAAACACTGTGTGTGTGTGTGTGTGTGTGTGTGTGTGTGTGTGTGCGCGTGTGTGTGTCAGAGCAGCGCTACTAATGGGAGTCAGGAGACCCTGTTTGGCTCCCAGCACTGAGCGATTATGAGGAGCTATTAGATGTTACATCGTGTTCTCTACCTGGGGGCTGCTGGACGCGAGTCATGCTTGCAAACAAGTGTACACACACACACACACACACACACACACACACACACACACACACACACACACACACACACACACACACACACACACACACACACACACACACACACACACACACACACACACACACACACACACACACACACACACACACACACACAGGCAGGAATGCAGTACACTCATACAGAGATTTATTTGTGCCGTCTCTGTTTCATTTGTGCACAAAATGTGTATACAAGCCGTCCGTTCATTCTCACGCTTGCCTAGAATGAAGTCCAGTCTTTCTCGCACACACACACGTAGATAAGACACACAACACCCTTGGCTCTGACTGGGTGGCTGAGATCAGAGGTGCAGATATGGTTGGCTTATGTAAAGCCTGAAGGCCCCGACAAGATATTTGAGTTAGTTATGGTACATTAAGACCATATTTACGCTAATTCTCTTACATCACTACTGACTGGTATTAGCTAGACACTGGAAGAGGAACAGTGTCTGATAAACAAAGACTGCTATTTTTGAGTTAGGGGGTACAATAAGCAATTAAAGGACTAATGTGTAGGTTTTATTGGTATATACAGGTTTTAGTTCCTGATTGTAACCCCCTCGTCTCACCCTCCCCATGGAAGCATGCAGGAAAAAAATACAGTGGCAGCGAAATGTGCAATAAATGTGCTGTATCTAGAGCAAGTATTCGGTTTGTCTGCTCTGGGCTACAGTAGAAAACATGGCAGTGAGTTCCGGTGACTAACGAAAACATAGTTGTGCATATTATATTTCATTTCTGCGAGACTCGGTAAATAGGACCCCCTAAATCTTGCACACTGAACCTTCAAAGCAGAGCTTTAGTTTTTGTTAATTTTAGTCATTTAGGCTTATGAGCATTCAACTCATATGTTCTGTAGGTATAGAACGTCAATATTAGAGTTCCATTAATCAATATTTTTACAATTTATTTGGGTCAAATTCTGTGTAATGTGAAAAGGACTCATATAGTGACAACTGACTACAGAGAATTCTTAACTAACTCAGCAGTTAGCCTCTTTCAGCTCATTGTTATGACAGAGCAGGAACATTTAATGTATGAGTCTGTCTCACTGCTCATCAACCCTGTTTCCAGCAGCAGCCAACCAGGCTCTGATAAAACCACTGTACCCTACCTGCACAGAAACAAAAAGTAGAAAAAAGCAAAAAGCATTTAGCCAGCAAAGAAAGTCTACAATTAGAAAGCATAAAAAGCATATATTTCCTTCAGGACTTCAGGAAGCCCAAACCAGTGCTAAAATGTGGGGGGACATTGATTGGACTTACATTCATTAGGTGGGAAAAAAACCCAACTTCAGTTGGACAATAATTGTTACCTAACTCATTAGCCATAACAAATTTTTCTAAGAATACTGGGTCGTGTGTCTGTCACCTCGTTTTCTTCTCAAGTCCTTCGGCCCCATAATGGCTAAAGATGGAATTATGGAGCTTTAACACTTTCTTGGCTTATTCGAAGATGCAGAGAAGAAGCCATTTTTGGTGGGACCAACTGAACACGTCTTTGCAGTTCTAGTGAAAACTCTGTATGAAATGTCAACTGTTTTCTGTGATTTTATTAGCCTGAGAAGTAGGTGAATTTTCTCAACCCACAAAAAAACATTTAGTCCCTCAGTTTATGTGAAAACATAAAAATCATTACATTTGGAATATGTGGTTTTTACTGGACAGCGGAGAATTAGAACTGGCTACGCTCAAGTGGTTTGGGGTAAATGTGTCGGCCAGTTTGTTTTGCAGGTGAACAAAGTTAGTTTGTCCCTTTGTCGTGCCCTCAGCGTCTCCTTCCAAGTGTTATCTAACCACAACAACTGGAGCCGTCGCTTGGCCGGAGGAAACAAGGGAACCAGTGTTTGTCGCTGACAGGAACGGCTGAGGGAAATTCTGCTGTCCTCTGCTCTCCATTCAAATCACTGTCATGCTGTAATTCTTAGAAACACAGGGCACCACTGTGTGTTGTGTATGTGTGAGTGTGTTATGTCTGAATAACCTGAAAGTGTGCATTTTCTTACGTATATAGTTGTTCATGTCTGCGTGGGTGTATGCACGTGGGGACAGGATTCATGCCTTCCTGCCTGCATATTCACACACAGACATGCAGGTTATTATCCAATATTGCACGCCAGTTGTTTTTTTTCCTCATTCTCCATTACGCCGCCTCCATCCATGAATGAGGGGTTTGTTTGGTTTTTCCTCCAGCTTTCCGCTGTGCACTGTTACCCCGGTTTTGCTCTCCGTTTCCTGGCCTGGACACAGGGCTGTTTTTTTTCACCTTAGCCTCACAGAGGAAATAATTTCTGACTGGGAGCGATGGGGGAGGAACGACAAACTAATATATCCTACCTCTGAACCCGGCTTAGGCACTCACTGCAAACCATTTTGGTTCCAATACACCCAGGCTGTTGCCAAAAGTTTGTTTCCACTACCTTCTGCTACAGTACAAAGGCTTCTCATAAACGTCTGTGGTTGCTTCAGCGAGATATCCAATAACTGATACTGGAGTATTACTGCACTTGCACCTTTTATGTGGGTTCACATGTGCAAATGCACATTCTGCCAATAATACAATCCTCTTTAATACTATGCAATGTATTCAAAGGGCATAGTACACTGCAAGTCCTATGGTTATCATAATGCATTAGAAGAAAGGTTATATCCTCCTATTGTATTATTTTTACCAGTATTGCATTACATTGTAAACTGGAGTGGTGCTCCAGCTTCCATCCTCGCCTTGACATCCCTCTAAATACGCCACAATTCCACTGCTCTTCTTTTTCCTAGTAACTCAATACTGGCATGAATACAAGTACAAACTTTTACACATGCAGGTGCACACACACGCGTGAGAACACACACAAAGCGGTGTGTGTTTACTCCTTTTTAGAAAGGCTGTCAGAGCCTATCATATCAGCTAAGCTGAGCCTGCATGCCTTGGAAAGAGAAAGGAGGGGTCCGATCCTCGTCCTTGCTTCTAGCACTAAACCCTCAGCCAAAAAACAAATTAGCAAAGAGACACAGGGGAGGGTTTATGACTATTTATTCAATTTGCTATTGAGTGAGAGAGGGGGGCCGAATTCCCCTTTTTTCTCCAAACACAATGTCATTTCCTGGTGGATATTTGAGACTCGCCGAAGAGTACGAGAGATGTTTTGGCGAGGGGAAAGGGGTGAAAGAGAGGGCTAACCAGAATGTTCTAGTGCTTCCATGGTATGTTGACAATTCTTAGGCAGCACAAGGAAATTGCTTGCTCCAACGTGGGGAGGGAGATTTGGAGATTGAGCGTCTTTAAACAGGGGTCTGAGGGTGCATTTGTGTGCTCTGTGTGTGCACGTACAATACCGCATGTACTACTGCCTGTTAAAGACATTGTGCAATATGTAGCTGGCTTTATATGTGCATGTGCTTACGTCAGTGCAGGAATGAGAAGCCGGGAAGTCTGAATGGGTTCTGGTAAATAGCTGCCCTTCAATAACATTCATTGCTGACAGTTTAGCTCTAAACTGTGGGTTCAGGCAGCCAGTCAGCTGAGGGCCAGCCAGACATTGAAGCTGTTGTAGAGTACAGTAGAGGCAGAGACCAACTCACCTTCTTCTTGCTGCAGTAGATCTGCCATTTCTTCTCATCGGGCAGAGCGAACATGGCCTCCCTGTTCTTATCCGTCAGGTCCAGTTCATCCTGCAACAAGAAGAGAGGCTGATTTATCCACACATCGGGTTCTTTGCACAAAATATTCAACTGAATTTGATATTAGATTAAGATAATAGCACATCATGACAAGGAAACACAACAGCAAAGCAGCGTTTAGGGTAATGACAAGGAGAAACATGACTATAATCACCCCATCCCTCAGGACACAATCCCTGTTGTTTTGTTATCCCTATTTTGTGCCAGGGATAGTAGAGGAAAATATTTTAGCAGTCAGTCAGAGATTACACTTTGATATTTGATTGCCCAACCTTCCCCCCGTCTGACTGAGAACTGGTCTCTGCAGACTACAGAGGAGTGTTTTAATATTCATCCTGCTGCTTTGCTCAATTCTTCAGCTTGGTACAAGGAGCCTCCTGCACCTTTTGAAATGCATATGAGACCAGGAAATGAGTCCCTGTGTGCCAGGGAGGAAAACTAAAGTCTTGGAAAAGAGAGATAGATCAGGATGGAGGGGAGAGGAGACAGAAAGCTAGCCATTTCCAGAACCACGTAGCCCCCTTTCTCTTTCTTCCTTCTTATTTTTCTAAGAGAGGATGAGATGCTATAGCGCAAGGGCTTTGTACTCAAGCTCAAACTAATCTCATCATAATGGTTTTTGCTACCATGACGTCAGCCAGAAGTGCCGGGGCCTCCTGGGCCCCCCAGAGTGAAGATGGCTACCGGTGCCAGAGGTGGGGCCCCTTAAAGCTGGCCAGTAGATTCACAGGGTTTGTTTTCATCCATTCAGCTGGACGGGGCGGGCTGAGGTGGCCCGCATTCCAAGCTTCCGACACTATGAGGAATGACATCATCTCTCACCCAGTCCTTTCATGGGATAACCAGCAGCAGCATTATTGTGGCTTTGGCAAAAAAAGGAAAAATGTTAAGGGTGTGAACTTCAAGGGGGTCTAATACAGATAGAAACCACAAAGAAGCTTTAGAATTTTTTGGTCAAAGTGTTTTTCATCCCAGCAGCATGAATTCGGTGATTAATTGTGACTCACACACAGAGCTGATCATCCAGGGTCTACATTACCAGCGACAATAAATGCAAGTTTCTCGTGACCCTGTGCGCTCTTGAGTGTTAAGAAGAAAACTAGCCATCTTGTGGTAGCTAAACCTCTGAGTCTCTGTCCTTCAATCTTTACAGATCTCAGCTTCGGGTTGGACCACAATCCTCTCTCCACATCCCCCGGCTTAGAAACCGAGGCCGAGAAGCCAGCCAGTCTCTGGCCTGTCGCCTGGTCGCGGGGTCAAAGCCCTGCTGTCCAAGCTGCTGCTGTTCTGTTTGGAGGAGCCGATGCTGGGAGCCGGTGGGGAAATCAGTGAGAATGAGACCCCTGGATTTGAACCAGATGGGAGCTGAGCCCAGCAGCTGATCTCTATGCTCCATCTTGGTCTCTCTATCCCCCCCCCGCTACTCCCCAGGCCTCTCAATTTAAGGTCTTATATGGAGGGGAGTTATATGAGAGCAGGATATACGTCAGCAATGAAAATCAGGGTTTATGTGTCTGAGACACATTGGTTCAATGGTTTAGGAGAGCAGCTAAGCTACCTCAGGTAAGATTTTTTCAAGAATTACATTTATAAATATTACATATTACATAACAGGAAAGGAACAAGGTGGGCTAAGGGCTATGTGTATTTTTTGTCAGGTAAGAAGAAGAAAAGAAGAAGAAGAAGAAGTCTCTATTTGAATGAGAGAAATGACATGAAGTCGAGGACAAGGACATTGGGAGGAAAGTTAATGTCATGCCATCCAGAGGACTCTTCACTTTCCAGTTATGCAATATCCCACCGTTTTCTTCCACCTCCAAACCCCCATGCCATCAAATACCACATCAACATCCCATTGCGTCTCGTCATGACCACAGCAACACCCAAAAAACACCCACTCATCCCATTCGCTCAATCTTCCAAAACAAAACTGAACCACTTTCCACTTTTGCTGTGTAAAACCTTCTCTTGATGTGCCCCCACCCTCCTTCGCCAGCATGCTCCAGTGGGGAATTCACATAAACCAAAGCTAATATTGTTACACCTGCAGCTCGAGAGGGGGAAAAATACATACCTAAGGCCTCTGAACCTCTTCTTTTCATATTTCTTCCAGATCGAATAATGTTACAAATTAAAAAAAGGTGTGAGATTGCCTGTCATGTCCGCTGCAGACTGACTGACCTGCTCAGTCATTCAATTTCCTGTTTCAAGACTGTACTGAGAGAATACAGAAGATACAGTGGAGAGAGAGAGATAGAGCTTAGAGAGCAAATTAAAACTCCTTCCAACTTTTCTAAAACAAATTTGCACACAACACATTTGGAATGAATTTGAATGTCATCATTCAGTGATTAAATGCTAAGTCAAATATAATTTTGCATCTGAGGCTCAAACAGTTATTATCGCATTTGCACTCTAAACTGTATCCACCATCAATGGACTTTACTCAATGGAATAGTTCAACATTTTAGGAAGTACACTTCGTTTACTGTCTTTGTTAATATGAGATGAGAAAATCAATATCTATCTTAAGTTACAGTGACCAACATACTGGTTTGTCCGGCATTGTCACCGTTTTAGGCTGGGTGTACCAAGTCCCAAGAAATAAAACAAAATAATAATAAATTATAAATTGTCCCAGTTGTCACCAACAATTATAATACTGTACTTGTTTTCAGGGCTTACACAGACGTGTCCCACCCCTAACCCAATATAAAAAGATAAACAATGAACCACGTGTCTGAATTCCACACTGATTTGTCTATATGTATCAATCAGTGCGTCATTGTCAGGGCTGTTGCTAGCCTCTGAGTCTGTCAGTAATGGTTAGCTGTCGTGCTGAAGAGAAGGGAGAGCTGTTTAGCCCCTACGCAAATGAGATACAATGACAAAATTGTAGCAAGTAAAGCAAGTGCACTTCCCAAAATGGTCAACGATTCCTCTTAATGCAACATTTCAGAGTACGAATCACACGTAGATCTTTGAAACAAAAGTGAACACAAATGCATGATGTATTGTAACAACCCCCAGGGATATGATCATGAAGATATCTTAGCACATTTGCCACCAATCATGGCCTATATAAATTAATTTGTGTGACATAACAGGAATCAGATGCTACAACATGTCTGTGGGAGATTTAAAATATTTATCTACACCATATGGAAAGAGTGTAAAAGGAAGGGAGAGGGATGAGTTGCAATGAAACATGGGAGTAAAGTCAGAGCAGTGTGGGAAAACCTAAATACCCACTACTGCTGTTTAGACTATATGTCCAGTCCAGGTTAAGTGCATTGAGACAGAGCTGGACCACAGGGGTGGAGGTAGGGGGTACAATGCAGAGTGGAGAGGTGAAAAAGTGTGAGGGTGAAGTCTTCTGCGCGTGTGCACGTTACGATAAAGACGGAAGCAAGGCAAACTAACAGACATTTGGGAGAAACAAAATATACAGGAAGAATGAGGGGTCAGTGAGTAAGTAGGTGTAAGTGAGTGGGACAGGAGTGGGAGTGGGTGTGTCTCTGTGACAACTGATTGAGAATGTGTGAGGCTCCATCTAAATGGGAAATGTGTGTGGGCCAAGAATGACATCCTTTCACATACATGTGCGCCTATGGAGTGGCATTTCCAGGGTGGATATGAATGTCTTTACCTCATGTGAAGTCTTACTGTACTGGCTGGCGTAGCACTGACACACACTCACACACTCACACGCACAGACATACACTGTATATATATATATCCTGCAGCAGTCTCTGGGCGAGACAGGAAGGCAGAGGAAAGACAGGCAAGATGGCAGGAAGTCATATGAGGCCTCCAGGGGACCCACAGGAAGCTGTAGCTGCCATTATTGACCCAAACGAGATTCAGAGAGTTTGTGTGTGTTGTGGGTGTGTGCACACTCAGGCCTGGCTAGTCCTGGAATTCTTCGCACAAGGCAAAGTCTGGCTCTGAATCATTTACCACAACCAGGAAAAGGTCAAAGATCAACCTCTTATACCTAAGATATGGTGACAATGGATTTTAGCGCTTTATGTCCCTTGACAATTCATCACATCACACCAACACACTGGGCTCACGCCACTTTGCAACATTCAGAGGAGTCATAGTATCCTGTCTTTGATGAGTCAATCAGTAGCGTACTGCCTCTCCCCTTGTCCAAACAAGGCTTGACCACTTCCATGATAAGGTTGGCTCAGGACAGCAAGAGTTGGCTTTACAACAGAGGTAGGAAGAGAGCATTAGAAATAGGAAGCCAGTTAGACCAACGCAAGGAAAGGAGGGAGGATAACAGAAAGGAAAGATGGTGCATCCCGAGGCGTACACTGCGAATGAAACTCCCAGTGGCTCAGAGGGCGGAGAACATTTCCATTCTCTTGTTATGCAACGCATTTTTGATTTGCGTCCGGCTCGAAAGTCACACTGGAGGGAACATTAGGAGAGGATTTATGTCCAGTTTGCCTGGAAACACAAGTTGAGGTTTCAAATGAGAAAGGCTAATTTTACCATCGCTGCTTTGAGAACAGAATTTACGTGCTGCTAAAAACAGTGATTGGGAGTCACATGGAGAGGACGCTCCTGACACTGGACAGCTGAACCACTGCCCAGAGAGCTTGGATTAAAACTGTCCCAAATTACGAGACAGAGAAAGAAAGAAAGAATGAGGCTCCCACATAGAGACAGACAGACAAAGCAAATAGAAAAAGAGGGCAGAGAGAAAGGCAGAGAGAACACACACTAATCTGATGTCTGCCAGTACTGTACTTGCCAGATGTTGGCCTAGTAGACCTGATTCAGTTGCGCCAATTTGGCCAGATATACTGTACATTATATCCTCTCTCGTCTCAACACAAAACTCATTGCAGATGGGTGAAAGACAGTTAGAGAACCGGTTTTACTTATTAGTTGGGGAGAGTATTCATTTGCACCCTATGCAAAAGGAGTAATGCCATACAGATGCTGAATCATCTTTCTTCACAACTACAATCTAAAGA